CCAACACAGATTTGTTTGTTCTTCTGGTAGTTCATGGTACTTTTAATATTCTTCTCCAACACCATAATTCAAAGGCATCAATTCTTCTACAGTCTTTCTTATGCATTGTCCAACTTTCACATGCCTATGAGGTGATTCAAAACACCATGACCTGGGTCAGGAGCACCTCAGTCCTCAAATTGACATCTTTGCTGTCGAACACTTCAAGGTCATGTGCAGCAGATTTGCCTAAGGCAATGCATAGTTTAATATCTTGATTGCTGATTCCATTAGTATTGATTGTGAATCCAAGCAAAATGGAAGTCTTTGGTATCTTTAATCTTTTCTCCACTTATCATGTTATTTATTGCTCTAGTTGTGAAGATGTTTGTTTTCTTTACACTGAGGTGCAATCCATACTGAAGACTGTAGTCTTTGATCTTCATCAGTATTTTAAGTACTCTTCACTTACAGCAAGCAAGGTTGTATCATCTGCATGTCGCAGGTTAATACATCTTCCTTCAATCCTAATGCCACATTCTTCTTCATATAATCCAACTTCTCTGATTACTTGCTCAGCATATAGAATGAATAAGTATGATCAAAGGATACAACCCGGGCACACACCTTTCCCAATTTAAAACCATTCAGTATCCCCTTGTTTTGTTTGAACAACTGCCTCTTGGACTATGCACAGGTTCTTGAGGAGCACAATTAAGTGTTCTCGAATATCTATTCTTTGCAATGCTATCCATAGTTTGTCATGATCCACACAGCCAAAAGCCTTTGCATAATCAATAAAGGACAAGGAAACACCTTTCTGGTATTCTCTGCTTTCATTCAAGATCCATCTGACGTCAGCAATGATATACCTAGTTCCACGTCCTCTTCTGAATCCAGCTTGAATTTTTGGCAGCGTCCTGTTAATGTATTGCTGCAATCATTTTTGAATGATCTTCAGCAAAATTTTACTTTATGTGATATTTATGATATTTGTTGATGCATTTCCACATTCCTTTCTTTAAAATAGGCACAAATAGGATCACTTCCAATGGGTTGGCCAGGAAGCAGTCTTCAAAATTTCTTGGCATAGATGAGTATCTCCAGCGCTGCATCAGTTTGTTAAAGGATTTCAATTTGTATTCCATCAATTCCTGGACCCTTGTTTGTCACCAACGCCTTCAATGTCTTCAGTGCAGCTTGACTTCTTCTCTACCACTGGTTCTTGATCATACAAAGCTTGACTTTGTTTTCTCAAGCTACCTCTTGAAATGGATGAACGTTGCGCATTTCTTTTTGGTACGGTGACTCTGTGAATTCCTTCCACCTTCTTTTAATGCTTTCTGCATCATTTACTATTTTGCCCATGTTGTTAAGTGCCATTGAGTCGATTCTGACCCATAGTCAATTCTGACCCTGTATAGGGTTTCCAAGGAGCAGCTGGTGAGCTTGAACCACTGACATTGCAGTTCAAACGACTTTGCAGTCTGCTGCATTAGCCCACAGCACCACACCAGGACTCCCATTGAATCCTTCAAAATTGCAAGTTGAAGCTCATATTGTCCCCTCAATCTTTTCAGCCTGAAAAATATTGAGTGTGTCTGTCCTTTTGACTTTTTAACTCTAGGTCTTTGCACAAGTCATGCTTGACTTTGTTTTCTCAAGTTACCCTTTGCATGTTCTGTTCAGTTGTTATCTTCATTTCTTCCATTTGCTTTAGCTTCTCTAGTCTCTAGAGCAAGTTTCATAGTCTCTTATGATATTTATTTTTGTCTTTCATTTCTTTCCTCTTCTGTAAGTGACTTATTGCTTTCTTCCTTTATGATGTTTTTGATATCCCACAACTCCTCTTGTCTTTGGCCATTCATGACTAATGCATCAAATTTGTTTTTGAGATGGTCTCTAAATTCAGGTGGGATATATTCAAGGTCATATTTTGGCTCTCGTGGACTTGTTTTAATTTTCTCATCGTTCAGCCTGAACTTGCATATGAACAAATGATGTTCCACAGTCTGCCCTGGCCTTGTTTTGGCTTTTCTTTGTGGTTCATAAAATAATGGTGCATCTTACAAGCGATGGCATTTAAGATTTGGTGTACTGTGGTTTTTAATCTAAAAGCAATCCCTGTAAGTAAACATCCCAGAAGTATACCATGCTGCCTCTCACCAAACTGTGCTTTGAGAGCACTACCAGTTCTCTGACTTGACTGGGGTGCAGGGAAGGGATGTAGCAGAAACTGCTGAACACCAAATTGTTGAACCTTCTTCCCTCCCAGCATATCTAGTTTGATAGGTCTGGGGTGGGGTTGAGGACTTGTATTTCTAATAAGCTCCCCCTATGCTACGCTGGTGGTCTAAGGACTGTGATTTAAGTGACATTTCAGGGGGCTGATGTGACAGCAGCTAACATCACCCAATAGCTGAAAAGAAACAGCAAACAATCCAAACCCATTGCTGTCTAGTTGATTGTGACTTATGGCAATCCCATGTGTCTCAAAGTCAAACTGTTCCATAGGGTTAGGTGACATTTTTAATTACATCTTGGCTGTAAATGCTATGGAGCAGATTGCCAGGCCTTTCTTATGCAGACCTGTTGTTAAGTGCCGTTGAGTCAGTTCCGACCCATAGAGACCCTGTATAGGGTTTCTGAGAAGCAGCTGGTGAGCTTGAACCGCCGACCTTGCAGTTCAAACGGCGTTGCAGTCTGGCACATTAAGCCACAGCGCCACACCAAGACTCCTTTGTTGTTGTCAGGTGCCATCAAGTCGGAACTGACCCATAGAGACCCCATGCACAGCAGAACGAAACAATGTCCGATCCTGGGCCAACCTCACTACCGCTGCCACACTTGACGCCATCAATGATGCCACCTGGCCAATCATCTCTTTGGGGGTCTTCCTCTCTTTCTCTGACCCTCTACCTTACCCAGCATGACATCCTTCTCCAGTGACTGTTCCCTCCTGACAATATGTCCAAAGTATGAGAGACGAAGCTTAGCCATCCTGGCCTCCAAGGAGCACTCTGGCTGCACTTCTTCCAAAACAGATCTATTGGTCCTTTTGGCAGTCCATGGCATTTTTAGTATTCTCCTCCAACACCACAACTTAAAGGCATCAATTCTTCTACGATCTTCCTTATTCACTGTCCAGCTTTCGCATCCATATGAAGTTATTGATAATACCATGGCTTGGGTCAGGCGCACCTTAGTCCTCCAGCTGACATCTCTGCTCTTCAACACTTTAAAAAGTTCCTGTGCAGCAGATTTGCCCAATGCAATACGTCGTCTGATCTCCTGACTGCTGCTTCCATGAGTGCTGACTCTTAGGTGGGTTTAAATCGCCAATCTTTTAAAAAACTTGTTTTAGTATAAGGAGGTTTACAGAGCAGATTATCAGTTTTACATTCAATAAACCATACACACTTCGTCTCATTGATTTCAACCCCCTCACTGTAACATCACTTATCCCACTTCCTCTGTTTCTTGTTTCTGTTTCTCCTTCTTCCCCGACCCTTTTGGACTTTGTCCAAGGGTAAACGGTGCCATTTTGATCTCAAATGGCTGCCCATTCTATGGTGTGCATGCCTCACTGGTGTTGTTCCCCCTATGGACCTACTGATTAGTTGGCTGGATATCAAGCCCTGGGGGCTCAGTTCCAGACTTGAAGGGTGGCTAAGAGCCATTGTCTCGAGGTTCCACATATTTCATCTCTATCAGACCAGTTAGTCTGGTGCTTTTATTTGCATGCTTTTGAGATTTATTCCACATTTTCTCCCACTCTGTCCATCACTTTCTGATATAATCCCTTCCAGAGCAGTTGGTAGTGGTAGGGTGGCACCATTAGCTCTTAGGTCTCAGGGTTGCAGACTGAGGAAGCAGCAAGATTTAGGTTAGTAGTTGAGCACAGACCATATGCACTGCTCAGGGATAGGAGTACACCCATCACTACATTACCTGAAACTTATTCCTTTCAGCTTGGATGTCTGTGAGATTGGATTGGGTAGTTTAGAATCCAGGTAGGTACCACCTCGTTCTTCTGGACATCTCAGAAGGCAGCATCTCCTTTGACATCATTCATTGCAAGCACATATTTGTAGTGTAGGCTACACCAGGAAAGTCCTGAGAAACACCCCCACTGTTCTACAGATTGTCACCATATCAACAGTTCTTACTTTAAGCAGCTATGGCTTAAGTGATGGTGTTGAGGCACTGAATGAATTACGCAGAGAGGGCTGGAATCTATTTCATAGTAACACGCAGGACAAAGCCCTGGGCAAACAAGTTAGACATACTTGTCACTCCCGTTACCACATCTCTTGGCTAGTTATAGTGGGCAGATTCCTTTCCTTTTTGTGTGTGTGTGCGCGTGTTACTGATTTAGCAAAAAGAAACATCTGTGTCCTTTTTTTCCCTCTTTCCTCAAAAAGAACAATCCATTTTTCAAGCTGCTAAAAAATGTCTTTGGAATTGAATTATTTGCCAACACGGCCTCTCCCCTGAAAGCAAGAAGCAGGGAGATAGATCCTCAAAAACAACTATGTTTAAGCGTAGTCATTACAGAGTATTTTTCCTTTAAAAGGCCCAGGTCTGCTCACAAGTTCACTGAACTGTATATAAAAGGTGCTACAAGAAACAGGAGACAAATCCTTTTACTAGGTACAAAAGGTTTATTGTTTACAAAAATAAGTTACTTAACATGACAACACATGTGAACAGATTGCTCACTGATATGACGACATCACACGAAACCGATGGAAAAACCAGCTCCCGAAGGACTGGCTTACTGATGAACATGCCGCCTAACTTTCTTCTATTAGGTTCTGAAACGGTCTGCTTTGTCTTCTGTGCACTGGCTAATGGGGATAAAGAGTCCCATCAACTGTGAGATGGAAGATGGTTTTCAAGACGCTCAGCCTTAATAAACATTAGACAAAAGGAAGGGAATGGCTGGAATAGTAAAGAGCTTGCCGCAGGCCAGGTGGGGACTGCATGCCAGCCTGGGGTAGAAGTGGGGTGGGGTGAGGTCACTGCCGGCAGGTGTCGTGGAAGGCTTCGAGGGTTCGGAAATCCCTCCATGTAGGGGGAAGTCCGTCTTGCAGAAACTTTCCGCAGCGCTGGCACGGGGCCTGGAATAGCTTTATGTAACTTCTTAACCAGGTCTAAAAAGAGAAATGAGAAGGAAAATGAAAGAAATGGACTCTGGTGCTTCCGATGGCAACCTTGCTGTCCAATCCAATGATCCCCAGGACTGAGAACTGCAATTGGCCCTGGCCCCAAATGATGGCCTGTGAATTTACAGAGAGAAGCATGCAGAAGCCACAAGGTCACAAGACTGCTGATTTTTAGTTCTCCTCGAGTGGAGGAAGTTTTTAAAATAGAAATTCATATTCTCCAAGGTAGGAAGTTGCTCCCTGAGGAGTCACCCTGAGCCACCACTCAGCCTATGGCTCTGGGGGCAAACATAACCACATTTCATTTGCTGTGTCCCATGTCTTCTGAATATTGGTATTGATTCTCTTCTCCTTGTTCACCACCCAGAAGTGGTCATGGACACGGACTACAAGGAAGACTCTAATAGAGGACGGGTTAGAATTCTCCACTGAGGTCACCATGCCTTCTTTTTAATCTGATTTCAGGTCATCCCTCACTGTCATAACGTGGTCTCATCTGTCTAGAGGGACGGGGGGGACAACTCTGTTGCCGCCGGATAACATAATAAGCAGCGAACACATCGAGGAGTAGTTCAGAGTGCAGAGTTCTTCCGGGCATCATACATAAGGATGAGAGTCACATAACTCAATTCTCAAACCCAAGGAGATTCACTACCAAAAAAACACAAAACCCAAACAACATCTTACCAATCATCTACAACAAGAGGCAAGCAAGTTCCCTCTGTGGAAGGGGCATGTGGATCTCATCATTTAATGTCCTCCTGAATTAGATCGATAGGAGAAAACTGTGTTCTGAAGAGGTCGACTGAGTTTATTGATAAAAATCCTCTATCTTCATCACAGCTGCCTTCACAGTGACACAGCTTGGACCATCAATACCGTGCCCCTTCCACAGGGCTCGGTTTTTGTGGGGTTTTGGCAATAAACATAAAGAGGTCAAGGGATCAATCAATGAAACTCTTTATCCTTCAAAGCTGATCAGATTCAAATCCTCCCCCAATCCAAAAACCAGTTACCAAAGGGAAACTAGGCATGAAAACAGGTTAAAAAACAAGTCTTTACACCTATCCAGCATTGAAGATTTCATGAAAACCTTATTAAATTGCTTTCTTGACACTTTGAAGAACCAATACGTGGACAACTCTGTTGAGCACCTTGGTTTGCTTTGTTCAACGTCTCCAACTTCAGCCAATCACTGTTTCGTTTGCTTATGTCTTTCAAGAACTGAATGACAGCTCTCTAAGAAGTTTAACTTTTGAGGCACATATAACAGAATGGATCTGACGAACAATGTTCCACCTAGCTGTCAACATTGAGTAGCCTCGGTAACAGTTAAGCCTTTGGACTAGGTACTCATATGATGAATAAGGGAGACAGACAGCAGTGCCTACTGATGGGTGAGTATGGACCCATGGTTTTGTGATAAACCGCTGGCTGATTCTGTCAAGGATGAGGTAGAGTCAGAAGTTGGGCCCACTTAGGTTCAACTGGTGTCCATGTGATAAATCTGGGTAGCAGGGTGCTGATACGCTGGCTGGGGAGTTCTGACTGGCAGCGTTTGCTGCTCTCCATGATATAAATATGCCATGAAGTTTAATTTCAAGTTACCAATGGTTGAACAACTGATCAACCAAACTCTGAACATTTAATAAGAGCTGACAGGAGTCTACTCCAGCATAGCTGTTTTAGGGTTGCTCCCATCCTGAGCTTCAACTTGGAAAATCTAAGGATGAAATGTTTTGGGAACTGCAAGTTTTTCTTATTCACAACTATAAGCACAGGATCTGGCACAGATAGATCTGTTGTTAGGAGTGTGTTAAATATTGACTAAATCAATGCTGGACACAGTTTTGGAAGATCATTTCTGAAATTAACACTTGCCAGAAAAATTCCAGTTAATTAAATGGCTTTCCCCAGATATCATATCCCTTATCAGTGTGTTTTTTTAAGTATTAGTTTTAAACTGGGAACCCCCATCTTCCATTGTAGGGATTTGAAGATTCAATGACAGGCAATGAACAGCTGTTTGTTCTTACGATAGGCAAGCTACCGTTTAAACAAGAGACGTGGTTCTGAAATCACTCACCATGAAGGATCTGACCACTACATCTGGCATCTGGGGCAGCTGATAGTGAAGCAGGGCAGTAGTGGCATGGTCCGTCACCTGGGAACAAAGGACAATGACTGGAGTCAGAGGCCACTCCAAAACAGCACCGAGAAAAATGCAAGATCAATGCACACTTTAGATGTGAAAGCCCAATCTGCTTGTGAATGTTTCCTAGATAAAAGGACATCTAAAATAAAATCTGAAGTAACAAAAATTAGTAGAATTGGGGGGCAGGTGTGCTGCAGGCAGAAAGGAACGCAATGGAAAGCTGTGACAGGTTGGGGACCGGTGAGAGCTGAGGTTGAGTGAGGGGACCGAGAGCTGAGGTTGAGTGTGGGAGACAGAGGTAAGTCTGAAGACAGAAAGAGGGGGTGATCATGGAGAACTTTACAAATCACATCACTGTGTAAAACACTACATGAATGCAAAGGATATTTTCCTTTGTCCACATGTGGAATGGAACAATTGTCCTGACAGTGGTCTAATTCTGTCTCCTAACTTAGAGCCACATAGGCTTTATGACCAGAGATCTGGTAATTTCTGATGATTTTTTCCTTGGGCTTCTGAGGAGCTCTGCTCCTCTAGCTAGCTAACTCTTTGAAGGGGTCTGGTCTGTTTTGAAGACCTCAGCAGGCCACGCCCATTTGCATAGCTCCACCATAGTGCTGTTATCAGCAAAGCCAACTGTGAGAATGTGCCAAGTCTACTAGAGGCAAGGGGAGATCAGATGGAAAGAGCACTGGGGCTGAGGGCCAGCTGCCTACCCTGACCCTGGATCCAGTTACTTTGAGACCTCTCTGGGTCTCAGTGTCCCTTCACAAAACAAAAGGACTGGTCTAAGAGAACTGCAAGGTCAGTGGTTCAAGCTCCCCAGCTGCTCCTTGGAAACCCTATAGAGGGTCGCTATGGGTTGGAACTGACTTGATGGCACTTAACAACAAGAAGATCCCTTGTAGTTCTGAAACTTAATGACACCATGAATTGCTAATGCCTGCTATCAATTAGCAAATTAATAGAATATGCCTAATTTGATAGTTGTTTTCAAAGTAATGGTTTATTTGATTGTCCTCATTAGAGATTCTTGGCATTACAAATATTGTGGCTGAAAAAAACAAAACACCACCAAATAAAACATTAACTCTAAGAATGAGTACATATCTAACTCTGCAGATATGTCTGTGTTTCAGTCCCACTAGGACACTATGAGGAGTACTGGTGTGGTGATGTATGATAAGCACTGGGCTGCTAACCACGAGGCTGATGGTTCAAACTCACCAGTCGCTCCTCGGAAACCCTATACAGGGTTGCTCCATGGCACTTAACAACAATAAGGACTCTATGTAATGCACTAACAGACCTAAATAGTAGTTAAGTAAGCAATCAGGTGGAAACTAGAGGCATGGGTCCAGGCCCTGCCTGGTGAGATAAACGTGATATGACTTCAGTTATACATTCACACATTCAGCCAGAGAAGCTAAACCACAAAATGTGTAAGGACACAGGGTGTACAGCAGCTGGACAATCTGGGCTTGGGTCCTGGCTCCCCAGTTTACAGCAAGGTAATCTTCGGCCCTTCACAGAACCTCTGTAAGCCTCAGCTTCCTCTGGGATAAAATGGAGACTGCAAAAACACACACTTCATAAGGCTGGTAGGATCATGACCACGCATTTGAAGCAATTCCTCTCCAGTAACAGTGCCAGTCCCACCTGCCACACTTCCCCTCTGCACTCCTGGACTTTCCTCTTTTCCTGCTGACCTTGAATGGCCTATCTGGTGGCTAGTGAGCCCCACTAGATGATCCACTCTATGAGGGCAGGGACCATTCTATGTGCTATGCTCCTCAGGTCTACAACATCAACTGGCAGAGAGAAGGTACTCAATAAACAGTTGTTAAATAAACTTAAAAATTCTCATGCTCCAAAGGCCACAGACCACAGGCACCTGCAGTGGTTTTCCTGCAAATATGGCAAATGTTCACGTACCCAATGATGCTGAGAAATCCTCACCCAAATGACTTTCAAGTTAAATGGCACTTACTCCTTTAAGTGCTAAGACTGCTTTTATTTTAAGCATGTTTGACAGACAGCTTTCTAAAATGAGCAATGCTTTTTTTTTTTTTTTAAATGAAATAGGAGCCCTGGTGTGGCGCTATAGGATAAGCACTGGATTGCAACCATAAGGCCGGTGATTCAAACTTACCATCCGCTCCTCAGAAATCCTATGCAGGGTCACTATGAGTCAGAACCGACTTGATGGCACTTAACAACAATAAACAATGATAACTTTGCAAAATGGTTGACATTGGTTGGTGGAGTGTAACCAACAGCTACAAAACTGCTCCCTGGCTACAGACTTAAAAACCAAAACCAAAACCAGGCAAGTGCCACTTGTGTGCTAAGATGTCTCTTGCACATGCAGCGACCATTAGAAAAGACACAAGGTTTTGGAGAATTCCTCTTACTGATCCTACCAGTTATTTTTAAAGTGCCTCTAATGAGGCTTCCACCCAATGGATCCATACTGTGACAAGAGTGGCCAAGGCTGACTGTATTGGTTCAGCCCCCACGGTTCCCAAGTTCTAGATTATGAGTTCTTTTCCAAGATGGGGGATTGTCAGCTGCACTCCAGCCCTACGAAGTCTGCTGGGATAAGATTAGATCATTTTCAGCAATTAGTGCTAGCTGGAGGCCTGATTCCTTAATCAGTCTGGTGTCTCAAAAAGACTGGTTTAACTATCCAAGGCAGGCATGTTTAGTTTGGTTGCACATTTTTTTTAATGATTAAAAAAAATAACCCAAAAAACCATTGTTGCCTACCATCAAGTTGGCCCTGGCTCATGGAGACCCCCTGCACAGTGGAATGAAAGGTTACTCAGTCCTGAGCCCCAGGATATGTGGTAGGCCTGACCACTGCAATTCAGATGGTTTTCATTGGCTGAGCTTTGGAAGCTGAGTGCCATAATTTTCTCCCTCATCTGTTTTGGTCTGAAAGTTCCAGTGAAACCTACTCAGCATCATGTTGGCTCCTAGTGACCCAGCCTCCACTGACAGACAGGTATTACTGTGTTTGGGGAGCACTGCTAGAAACAGAACTCGGCTCCTGCATGGAAGGGAGAATTCTGCCACGGAACTACCGATGCTCCCTAAAAATGAGCTACCAATACTGAAAATCCGACACATTTCACGTAGCCCAGATTTCCAGCTTCTCTTGAAACATCAGAAGATCTGGGGGAAGTAAAAGTACTCCTAACTCAGAAGATGTAGTAAAGAAGAAATGAGGTCAGCCATGTGAGGTGCTTGGCTGAGTCTGCTGTCATGCCTCTCATCTGCCCTGCAGGGGATGAGGGCTAATTGCAGCTGCATGCCCTGTCCAAAGGTGCTCCAGCTGGTGGTGGTTATTTGGATATGTGGAACTGGGGGGCAGGGGAGTCAGGAGAGGATAACAAGTCACAAAATCACAATGATGATTAGTAAGCAAGCCTTGTGCCAAGCACGTCACATCACTCAACTCTACCTCCCACCCAGGGCGAGGTGATGTGAACCATAGTGCTGGCTGCCAGTTGAAGGTCTGGAGATGGACGCTGCATGACAGGTCACTCAAAAGCAGAACATGCTGAATTAATGACAAAAGGCCCTCTCTGAGCTACGGCAGGAGCTAGGCACCAAAGCTCTTCCATCTGGTCATTGGAAGGGCACCTAATTAAGTTTACATTACTTACTGGTTGGTAATTTGGTCAAACTGTGCCCTTTTCCCCACCGAAAGCTTCGGTGTAATGCATTCTTTTTCATGACCAAACAGTGGTGATTTGCTTCTCATTGCTGACGGGATCATTTAATGTCTTTTCATTTTCCATCACCAATTACAGAAATATTTTAAAAGAAGGAAACAAAGCTGACTAATTTGTTGTGTTTCCCCTTCTTCCTCTCACACTCCTACATTCCTAGTTTTCAGATTCCTGTGGGGGAACCTAAAAGCTGTCGCATGTTGGAGAAATTCATCTACAGTGATCTTCCTTTTTGTCAAAGCATTCCACCTTCAATATATATATATTTTAATACTTTTTAACAACAAAGTTGTTTTCACTCAGCAGCCAAGATATGGAAACAAGCAAGCCTGGGGCAAAAATAAAAAAGCTATTAACTAATTTAAATCTAAGGAGGTTGGAGTCCAGTCATAAAGTAAAGCTAATGAGATTCCACTGGGAGAGAAAAGCTGCCCTCCCTGGAGGCGACAGCAGAGGAAGAAGGGCACTAATATCCCCAGCCAACCAGGGGAGGGGAGGCGTTTCATCCCACCCGTGTGTGCTGGGTTGAAAAAATAATTTTTTTTTTTAACTTGTAAAAAGATCAAAGTAGATGGCAAGGCAAAGGAAAGGGAGGGAAGAAAAGAAATGAAAGTAACAATAAACCAGTCAGATAGAGAAGGCAGCAGAGGAGCAGAGAGGGCGGGGGAAACAGGAAGCACAAAGGGCTGGTTTACAGCAGGAATGGGCAGAGACCTGAGAGGGGCTTTGCTAAGAAAAACAGTCTTATGGCTGGGATGCAGGTGATTTGTTTTGAGTTGGGGATGACATTTCCACCATCCCATCAACTGATCCACTTGGCTTTATTAATCTTACTTTAAGGGTTTTCTCCTTCACCAACCAGGGCTGACCAAAATTCTCTCTCCTTCCTCTCAAAGAGGTGGAAGCAGGTCTAAGACAGACCAAACTACTGTTCAGGGAGGAGAATGGAATCTTTCAAGAGCCCTTGGAACAGCTGCCAGTCATCACACTGGAGAAGAAGAAAAGATGCCAGGCAAAACAAGTCTCCTCAGAGCTCATCTGCCATATTGTGTGCAAGGAGTTTCTGACAATCTTGACTAGCAGAAGCTGAGGGCGACAGGGGACTTCAGTGATCACGAGTCATTTTAGCTAAACCAAAAGCAATAATAGTAACAAAGTTGACACTTACTGAGCACTTATCCTGTGGAAGGGCTGGTGTACACCACACACCTGGTGAGGAGCCCAAACTTTGGATCCAGACTGCATGGCTTTAAATCCTGTCTGCCACTTATG